AAATCAATTCTCATTTTCAACCACACATTCTTCAATAAAATAATATTTTCCATCACATCAATACTTTTTTCTTCTTTTTCAACCACACATTTCCCATCATATCACTATTCAAAAATCTATTCTTCACCCAAAAATCCCTACCAAACACACTCATAATTTTACTAACGATATCATATTCTTAATTTATCCTCAGTTATTCTCGTCTCCATTTATTAGCATGTATTCTCTCTGTCTCCCTCTGTCTCTCTTAGGGCAATTCTCATTTTTATTGAATGACACACATTCATCTTAAAATCCTCGTATCATATTCATTAGTGCGTGTTCGAAACATGCATGTACACTAGGTGCAAGTTGTAGGAAACGCTGTGTTTATTGGGTGGCAGTATGTTGATTTGTTCAAAAATTGATTATGCCTTTGGCATTAACTAAGAACCGTTGTTGGTATGTCACTATTAAGTCTCCCAAATCTACAGTTGTGTAGACATATCAGTAGGGGCGTCAATTTTGCTCACTGACTCAGTCTTGAAAAAGTCTGAGCCGACCCGGCCCGACTCGTGGCTTGATGGAATCGAACCTTATTTTGTGGGGTTGTCCCGAGCCCGGGCTAGCTCGTGTCATAGGCTATTTTCAACCCGTGAAGAGCTGGAAAAAAATAAAAAAATAAAACAAGAAACATGTAGCTACACCCTGCCTTGCAAGCAGCAACTAGTTGCCTATATTAAAAAAAAAAATTCGTGAACCGGCCTGGCTCAACAAAGCTCGAGCTGAAAGTTTGGATTGAGTCTAAATTTTTTGGCCGAGCAAAAGCTCGACGCGGCTCGATTAAAAAAAATCCAAATCATTTCTACTCGAGCCGAGCTCAAGCCTCAAGTTTCGACTTTGCTCAACTCGTTAACATCACTACATATCAGCATCAAAATATATTATCATGCTACATGTACATCTTTTTTACATCATTTTTTCTACATATTGTCAAACAAGAACCCATGAAATATACACACAGCGTAATTCAATATACTTTTAATCATGAATTGGTTTAACTAACTAATACTGTTGGGTTACATATCCATTTATTGACAGCTGTTTAGCTATGAAAAATGGTGGACCAACTACAGAATGTTGTTCATTTAATGCTTCTAATTCTTATCAAACTTGTCGACTGCAGATTTTAGAGCCTATATTCTGTTTGTTTGATATTAAGGGTCCATTGGTAGGACTTTTGAGCAGTCAAAAACTGCATTTGAAACTAAAAAACCTATTTTTAAATATATTTGGATAATTTTCTAAAAATATTTTGAGTTTTGATTCATGTACGGAAGTCAAACCCATACTCACACACATGGGTCCCGCACTTTTTTTTTTTGAGTGGTGCTACGTGTACACACAAGTTTTTACACAATCTTTTACACCTCTCGCACATGGAGGGGGGTCCACGATTATTTTATTATGTGTGGGCCCCCCTCCATGTGAGGTGGGTGTAAAAAATTGTGTAAAAGATTGTGTACACTTAGCATTATTCAAATCTCAATGCTCATTTAAGTTGATAAACCAAAACCATGCCAATCCGATATTAAGAAGTTTGGAGCTCAAATCAAGGAGTATATAATTAGATCTCCATGAGCATCAAAGTTTTAACTTTGCTCGACTTAATATATTTAGGTGAGATCAGAGTTTGACCTAATAGAAGTATGTTCAATACGTAAAGAAAAGGATATACCTATTAAGTATCCTGATTTATTAAAAACATGTTAGATGGTAAGAGTATGGTGCCCACTAAAGTCTCATAAAAATTTTCACGTCTAGACAAATTAAGGTTATATATAATTTAAGTGGAGAATAAATAAAGTCACCTTCAAATTTAATTATACTTANGGAGGGGGGCCCACGATTATTTTATTATGTGTGGACCCCCCTCCATGTGAGGGGGGTGTAAAACATTGTGTAAAAAATTATGTACACATAGCTTTATTCTTTTTTTTTAATACATGACGGAGCCCACACATTGTGAGTTTTATGGTGAAATTCAGTGGAAAGTTTTCTGTACATGGGGAAAGCTATTTTATCTTACTAGAAAAACTTGTAGATGAAGTGACCTAAGATAGCTTCTTCAAGAAGCTTTTCTGCAAGAAATAGAAGTAAAACAGAGGCCCTATCAGGTGAACCCTATAAAAAGATGAATTGATCTGATTCCAAAACTAATTCATAATATTTTAGTCATTTTAAGATGGAAAGACTCGTTTTGGGGGTAAATTCTGTCCCTCTCTAGAAAATGTTCTTGTTAAAGGAATGAGCAAATAAGAGGGATTTAAAGTGAAATAGCTACTCATAATTGACAAAGAAGTTTTGGAGCAAGTATGATAATTGAAAGAAATGAAAAGATGGGGCATCAAGGACAGAGAGCACGTTCAAGGTTACCATGGATATTCCCTTTCTGCATCTCATTTTCGCTGAAACAAAGAGAGGAGAATATTTAGTACATTTGACACACAGTATTGGACCAAGACCATACAAGAAATGAAAATTTATCCTTTTTTCTTCATAATCATGCCCGTGTCATTCAATTAACCTAATAAATGCAAAGAGAGTGACACGACAAGCAAACTTGCTTTTGATTTACATTATATTAAATGTAAGTTAGTGCTCGCGTATATAATTTCAATTCATATACATTCCATCATTTAGCTATGGATGTTGGACAAATTACTAGCCGAACAAGTAGCTCCTGAGTATAAATAAAAATAAGGTCGGAAACGTTCCATTCACCCACCCCAAAAAAAAGGCCATACAAGTACTGCACAGTGTTCCTGCAGATGTAACCCAATAAGAGAAGAAAAATCAACCACCACAATCACAAACATTAAGCAATAACAATCCATTAAAATCTTCAATCCATAACTTGTCACTTCTAAAGCCTGCGCAAGTCATACAAACAGAAAGACGAAGGTATTCAAGGGTCGACTACATACTCCTAGAGCAAGCACATCTCAATCAAAATCTCAAGGCTTAGAAGTAAGGGCTGTATCGCATGGGCATTCTGAACCTGGGAACCTTCCTGCAATGCAAAAGACAAACATTTGTGACAAGTAATTTTCGATGGAATAATGCCAAAGTATGCTTTCAGCCTCGGGTTTCTCCCCTCCCCTCCCCCACTTAAAAATTCCAAATAGTCCCCTTTTATATCAATAGGGTCCCACCCCTCCTAACCTTATAATTCTAGAACCACCGCATTTTATAATAAAAAAATCCAGAGGATGATGACTCATACCCATATCCATAAGGAGAATAGAAAATTGGAGCGGGTATGTATGGTGTCCTAGAGCGATAACCCGTGTGGGGGTTGGCACGCCGTGGGCGAAATTGCTTCATGCCAGGAACGTTGGTCCTCTTGGCCGATATCTGGAACAACACTTGAAGAAATTCAACAATAGGAGAATCGAATGACCATTAAACTTCCATAATCACAAGGTTCAGTATCCTTGTTCACATGGTTGGTCCATGTAATAAATGCAGCGAACAAATATATACAATGTAGCTAACCTTCAATTGGCGACCATGAAGTTCAGATTCATTCAGAAGAATAGCCTGTTCAACAGCTTCTGCCTCAAGAAACTCGACATATGCATACCCCTTTGGTTGCCCATACTTGTTAGTCCGAATAGTTACTCTATTAACAGTCCCACATGACTGGAAATGCTGCTGCACTTCCTCTGGGGTACATGAATAATCCACCTACAAAGCAAGTTTCATTGTCGAAAAGAAGCTACCCCAAAAGGGTCGGGAAAAAGAACACTTTGAGTGAGCTGGTGTGTGTCTACTGAATACATGTAGGTGTATTTACCCACATTAAAGCTGAAGTAAGTTGTGAGGAATATGTGCGAGGTAACCTAGGCACTCATCAGTTTTGTGTCAGAAAACAACAAATTGAGTACAGATAAAAATAAATAAATAAATAAATAAAAATCTTCAAAAGCAATTATGTAAGCATTATGAGAAATTGAAACCAATGTTTGCTAAGATAATGAAATCAACAGCATTTTATTAATGACAGGAAACATAAATGGAAATATGAGAAAAATGATTTTTCAGAAAGAAATTACTTTTGACCATATATATAGAAGTAAAAGGAAGTATCCAAGTCATAGAAATTAACACAAGCAACCTCAATCTAGAAGCAAAAAAGATGGAATTCTATTAACACATAATTGTAAGCAAAACAGTGAAAAGCTGAAAAGTAAATGGCAGGAGGCAGAAACATTATGCATACACGTGGATAGCCAACTTCTATGGTTCATGATATAAATAATAAATGGAGTATGCAGACCAAAAACCCATCTTATTCTTGCTATTATAGAAGAGGAATGAATACATTGTCTAACTCAGCAGGAAAGCATAAATAAGGTGGCATTAAAATAAAACACACAGCAGCTCACTAATTTGCATACATCATAATTAGCATATACCTGCTAGAAACAATTATTTGAAAGGGTGATATAAAAGTAAACTAACTTGTTCCAAAAAAGGACGAAAAGAACAGCTCATCTACACAAAGCAGACTTTATAGAAAGATGCCAAGAT